TAATAGTTATTCAGAAGATGGCAGTCATTTACAGTCGTTATTCATGAAACAATAAATTGTTTACAGTTAATAGTTAACCAGAAGATGGGCAGTCATTTACAGTAGCTATTCATGAGATGATAAATCATTTACAGTAGTTATTCATGGGGCCATAAATTGTTTACAGTAAAGTTATCTAGCCCAGGTCCCAACAGGCATGTCATTAAAGGCGACCAATTAGAAGCTTTCTGAAATCATGTGTTGTGCAGAAAGGCACAGATATCACAGCCTAACTGTAAACCACACTGCAGCATGCCGATCCTTCTTAAGGTATATGCATAAGAAGAAGATTTACAGTAGTAGTTAAAGATGAAATGACAATTCTGTGGAACCCTTAACTCTTTGAGTCCCAGGCCAGGGAACGCATCATACGTTCATAGGTTTTTACCTAGACGCCCAATGAATGCATGATGTGTCGATTTTAGTCTCTCTTTACTCACCATTGGGCCTGTGATGCTAAACCCCCTGGAAATCAAAGAGTTCAATTTTTTTTTTAAGGTTTGCTACTTCCTCCTCCTGAAGGTTAAAGGTTTCCTCTAAACCATTAGTTAACTCTGGGGGACAAGTCTGGTTGTTTGTCCACTCCTGGACTTTGGTCTTGATTTAAAAAAAAAAACACTAGATTTTGTGTGCACGTCCATTTTATAGTTCAGGCTCATTTTTATGCCAACAAGTTTTTCTCTGGTTTTCAAATGGGATAGGGAGGGACATTTTCGCACACCCACAGAGCAGTTATGGGGCGACCCATCTGCAGTAATCCGAGGCTTAGGGGTTGCGAGTCCGACTCGTAATCCTAGCGTACCGCGATCGAAACCCACTGCTGGTTGCGTGAATTTTTATCATGGTATGGGGCGTCGCACGTCGACCCAGCCTCAAATGGCTACCAGGATGTTTGTCCTGGGGAAGTAGAGACGGCCGGCGTAATGCTCACTACATTACCCACCTAGTGCCGATTGGTCTGTAAAAATATTGGTGCTCTTCCCATATGCCCGATGCGCTTAAAGGCATGAAAAGGGATCTTTAATTACTACGCCTGCAGTAATGTTGGGACATTGATTAATGACTAATACAGTGGCAGCCATTTACAGTAGTTAGTCATGACATTAATTGATAAGTTTACAGAATATGTCAGTCATTAATTATATAAGATTCGGTTACTTTATTAATTCATGATGAAATAAAATGACAAAGGTTTCCACTAGTTATTGTTCATGTTGTGACATATAGTATTGTCCCACTTTGTGTCATTATCCCCCACATGTGTGTTTGATGTAGCTTGGTACACACACACATCGCCACCACTACCACCACCACCTCCTCCTGCAGCTGTGTAGTTAATATACCTTTTACATGTCTACGTCTTATTTTTTTATTTAAACCATCTTGAGCTGCTTTGATTGGTGGTTGATCACATTATTTTTGTGTGCATTTATGTTACTGAATATTTTAGGTATTTTGGCTATATTATAATTACTATTACTTGAATCAGCGCCATCGTACTTAGAGAAGAAATGCAGTTTGGAATTGAAGTATACTATACACTACAACGAGGTGGAGGGGCGGAAACACACCTCAGTGTGGCTAACGCAGTCTTGGGGACCGAGTATCCGCTGGAATAAGTGGACCACACTGTGGTGTTATCTGCTGTTAGCAATATCACAGTTAGGTACTCACTTACCCAGGCATTCTTAAAGGTTGCTGAAGGTTGAGATGCTCAGCCATGTGAATGTGGAAATCATGAAGAGACTACCACATTATATATCACTTTTTTGCTGTATTATACTAGGTGCAACAAGGAAAGCTGGACGTAGCAACGATGATATTAGGAAGAGAGTTAGCATAGAGCCAATACTGAACATTATCGGTAGACAACAGATCAAATGATTTGGCCATGTAACAAGACAAGGCACCACAGAGAGCAATTTTATATAGATGACAATGGTAACAGAGTCAGAGGTCGACCACACAGAATTTAGACTGCAGAAATATCAGAGAAACGAAAAAGTATTGTATGCGAAGCGAACAGAAGAGCCTGTTCAAGATACCTTTTTGTGGCCTGATGCTGCGAGGCATTCCAGGAGTAGAGACAAGCAGAAGATCCGCGTCTCTCTAGGACTCTAGCCTTAGAAAAATGAGCCCTTGTATTGTGTGTGGGGTGATAATGCAAAGGGCCCTTTTCCCCACTGTTGATGCATCGGGCATGCGATGCTAGGCTCTTTCTTTATTGACTACCTGGTCCTCGACGGATTATGGGAAAATGGTGTTTACCCCTTTCCCAGAGCTTAATCTGGTACCCATTTTAGGGGCTGTCTACCAGGGAGCAAAGGTCATTTTAAATAAATCTGATTTGATTACATTTGAAACGTGGGTAATAATAATAATAGTCTGAAAGTTTAAAACCGAGAGGTTTGACTTCATTGCATTTTGTTTAATCCCATATGGTCAGTTGCCTATTGTTGAATGAAGCACAGTCCCCATAGCTCCAGCGATGATCCATGGGGATCTGTAAAAAATTTGTATTCATGATTCTAAATGATGCATTTGTGGAACGAATCCATAATCTTCAGATTGCAGGGTCAAAACCCTAGCAGCAGTGACCATCTTTAATAATAGTATTCATTTAGTATATTTGTAAAGCATAATTTAGTATGGGAACAGAAAGTCAGGTCATATATTAATCATTCTTTGGCAGACCACCATTTGCAGTAAACATCTTCTCTTTGACCTACAACAACAAAAATTAAATAAAAGATATTAAAAAAAGAAAGATAACTACATTGGTAGGGTAAACAAGTTCCTGGAACCGATGCAGTATGTTTCACATAATGTGCAATAAGTACACACACATAGATTGCATTTTGTGTTGTGTGTACAATTTTTATAACACATTCAAATGAAAATGGGAAAATGATGTCAGCAAATATGAATTCCTCATACGAACAGTTAGTCAGAACAACACTCACTCGTAAGTCGAGGCGACCCTGTACCTTAAAAAAAAAAATAGTGTAGTCAGTAAATGATGACTGTAAGACTCTTAGAAGAAACAGAAAGTGAAACTTGCAAGGGTAATTTTTAATATTTGTTTTATCATTTAATTTTGTTGTGTTTTTATTTTGTGCATGGCTTCTCAATGTGCTTGGCTCTTCATATGTTGATTTTCCTTCAGGGGTTGCAGGTCCAAACCCTATCACGCAAGGACCGTATGTACTAGCTCAGGATCCATACGTGGCAGCGGGCGTTCCGTTCGCAGGTCAGCTCCCAGAATGTAACTTAACCCCATTCCCTTCCTTTTTTCCTCTCCCAGCCCTCAGCCTCTGAACTTTGTTTTCTCAACCCTTGCCCCATGTATCTTCTTTATCTGCTTTCTTTCTTCTTATCTCAGATGTCGTTTCTAGCCGATAATGTAACATACCATGTCAGCTAGTGTGAAAGTAGATTTGAATGTATTTTATGTGTTTGTTATTGCACTTTAATTGTTAATTCATAGTTAATAATAAACTTTGCTACATGTTTAAGAATATTAGTCCTAATTTGAACTCTGTTAACATAAATTTGGAACATTCCTTTGGAAATTTTAATTCAAGTACGAGGTTCTTTTTATGAATTAGAACATGATGGCTTTATATTTAATAAAAATATTTCTTCATGTGTGAGAGGGCTTCAGATAAACATTTAAAAAAAAAAGTTTGAAAAGAATTACAGTAACCATGCCGTTGTCTTGTAACCTGTCAGTATTGTTGAAAGTTTCAAAATGCTCTGATTTCTGTGACAGCCCGGTCATGAACAGATTTTTGTTCATCAATTAATTTCTATAGGTTTCACTCCTTCACTGATATAACAAAAAAACAAAAACAACAGAATGCTGCTCTTCTTTTCTGCATTTTAAAAGTGGGGTGGTTATCTTTAAACTCATTATGACGTTACTGTGATCTTCTGCACCCTTATATCCAGTGCTTAACACTCTTGACATCCTTAACAACAATATTGACATGTTACAAGATGGTGGCATGGTTCTTGTATTTTCAATCGCACTTTTAAGGTTTCAGTTTGAAGCCCCCACCTATTATTAATGTGTGGAGTATTCCAGCTCTAGTAATGATTTTAGTAAATTCCAACTAAATCACTTCTTTGTGTTCGGTTTCGTATGCTCAGATCAGACCATCAGGTGGGTTGGGTTGCCTCTATGAACTAAATAAAAATCTTGAAATCTAAAGGAAATTTAGAACATTCCTTTTAAATTTACAAATCAGTTATCTAAACAAATGGCTGTTGTAGTTATGATTTGGGAGTTGTTTCAAAGCAAGGGTATTGAGTGATGAAATATTTCCTGTGTGGGTATCATGTCCCTATTGGGGAGGGGGGCAGGGAGATAGACTGTCCCATAACAGGCGTTTATGAAAAGCGACTAAGATTTTACTTGAATCAAAAGTGTGGGGTCAAAAAAGATGCAATAGCCTGGCTGTACACCAAAGCATAATGTGCCAGCTGCTCTGTTAAGAATGATGCGGATGATTTCATGTGTATGCTTGACTCGGCTAGTTGACCATTTCCAAGACCTTGTAAAATCAGTGTTGAATGTTGAAATTTGTAGCTCTTTACAATACTGACACGGATGCTAGGAATATAAGTGTCTTATTCCCAGAAAGTACTATGAATATTTATATTTAATTTATGTATTTCAAAAGTTTTGGATTCAGTTAATTACATGTTAACAGTTAATGATTAAGTTTAGTTGCTGATAAATAATTGTAGTTACGGTGTAGAGCAGATTAGAGAACAAAATAGCGTCTTCATATTGTGAACTTGATAAATAATGTTATTTCATCATCAAGATGAGATTGAAGAAACATTGCTTGTCTTTTTAGTGTAGACTGGATAAATAATGTTATTCCTGGTCTGGACTAGATTTAAGAATAAAGTAGTTTATTATGGGGAAAACAAGAATATACCTACAGCCTCCCCAACAAGTATGTCGTAGGAGTCAATAATTAATTGGGAACTACCTTCAAAGTCTGAGTTCATCTGTCTGAACGTCAAGGAACAACCAACTGCACACAAATAAGCCAGTAACATGGATGTACACGCAAAACTCAGGCTTTTGCACACAGCCCAAGTCCAAATGGGAGAACAACCAGGACTTTTCGCTGGAGCTTACAGATGGTGAACCAAGAAAGAAAGAAATTGTGAATGTAATTTTTTTACAACTGCATTACTTGTCCTTTCTAAATTCAACAACGAAATAGCTTGTCTTTCTGTTGTAAACTTTTGTGTAGTCCCAATACACTTTAGCACTGTGTTTGTTCTCATCTGTATCTCAAGTTAATGGTGTCACAGGCAGTCATGCATGTTTCAGCATTTCCTGTACCCCCACCTTTCGCTTACAGGGTTTTTGTCTGTCATTGATGTTTTATTATATCTTTGTTAACTCATGTCCTTCCCTGACAGTTGACACTTGTGGATTCTATTTTCGTTGTGTGTGGGTGCGTGTTTGTTGTTGTCTAATGTAGAGAGGTTAATGTTGCCTGTATCTGACAACAGCACAAATAAAGTTACTTTATATTCTTCACATGGCTCCGAGGTGAAGAGGTTAGTGAATGCTTTGCAGAAATCCCCGACGAACTAGGGTTCATGTGTCTTGGTGAACAGTTTAGGAAAAGACTGATTTAGTGGCTTTGAGACAGTGGTATGTGAGTTGCACCGTGGAAGCGATTTGGGAACTTCACTCAGTGCTGTTTGTTGCCCAAAATTGAGACTGGGTCTTATATTATTTTTTTTTGTTGCTTAAATATGTACTGGGGCTTTTTTTTTGTTTGTGGGGTGGGGGTACAAAAATCTACATTTATTTGTGTGCAAAATTCTGCACTTATTCAAAAACAGTCATGTGTCATCTTCTTAACTCTCAACATCCTGAATTTCTTGCGACTCCATTTCCTGTAGAAGCATTGGCCCCAGCTCTCATGACCAGCAATAAATTTCCTGGAATGAGCATTTCTTGTCCATGTAGCCTGATGATAGTGCATTGGTAACACCGCATGAATTTGCATTCATTATCAAGTGCACACCAGTGGCGTCTGTACTCTGATGACTGTCCATTCTAGCTGACGATTTAAACTCAGCCTTTTAAAAAAAAGATTATTTTTAGGTAGGGCTTATGTTAAAAAAAGCATTATGAAAAAATGTGGGTAGGTAAAGTTTCTGGGGAAACAAGACAACAGTGGATGCACAAAAACCAGCCTCCACTGTTGAGATGCCAGAAAAATAAAAGTTTCTCACATATTGGTTGGTTTGAAAAAAAAAGTTTGTTGCATATCCTTTACTGTATGTAGCAGAACCAGCCTCAGCATTTTTTGACTGTTGTTTTTCTAAACAAATTTTGTGTTCTGTAGTTTGCCATTGCTTCCGGAACGATTATCTCTCGGTACCACTGTCGAAACCAACACAAGATGAAATTAGTTGGTTAGTAACAGATTATCTTCATTGCACATTGAACCATTCAGTCCGTGAGTGCTCATATCCCCTCCTCAGTAACTCCCGCTGCCTGTAGCAGCTAAAGTACCAGTTCTGTGTTGGTTTCTTATTCTTCTTTGGCTTCCTGCAGAATGCTCTTGTCTGGCCACATTTCTTTTAACATGTTGTTTTTGCAGTCTAGTCACATGTGCAGATTCACAGTCATCACTTGATTCTTGCAAATGTTTTTCTTTTTGTAGAGCATTCAGTATATCAGCCTGGTCCATGGCTCGGCCACACTCAACAGTAGCTTTACCTGCAAGCCTATCAGCTTGCTTATTTCCTTGCTCGCCTGCGTGCCCTGGCCTGCAAATGAAACTGAAATGAGTCAGCTCTGACCACCTCAGAGACTCCAACCTCTGTCTTCTCACATGTATGAGACCATAAAGGACACGCCTTATTGTTTGTTGTCCGTCATATTTCATTGTTAACAGTAACTGTCGTAACCTGCTGTATTTAACAAAATTTTATAGTCCCTCAGAAATTGATCCATTTTCTAACTATTGCCTTGCTCAACAAGTAGAAATTGTGGCAGCCTATGTACGCAGATAAACCCCATCTTTCATTGGAGCATAGGTCCTGTAGCATCTCATATAAAGCATTCCTATGTTATAATATTTCTGGAAGTTTTTTTCTTACAGTCCATGCTGTGTGGCATTGGTAGTCATGCCCATCCACAACCTTCTGTCTAGTGTCAGTTAATTCTGACATAGATGATCCTCAATGCCATGATGTGAAACTGTCCAGCATCTTCTCTCTCGTTGTCTCTTTTCCCACCCAGCTTACCCACCATCACGATGTACTCCAGTTTTCTCCTTCTCATGACATGATCAAGAAATAAAGTCTCCTTCTGATGTGGGCAATCAGTTCTCTTCATGAGTCAGTTTCTTTCTAGAAATCTTCATTGCTCTTTTTATCTGTCGACAGTGTTCTCCTTTCATCTGTAAAACCATATCTCCGCCACTGTTTGTATTGTTTTTTTTTTTTTTTAAAACTAATTGGCCAACTGTCGGTGCTTCACTTCTGAACAACAGTGTAGGATTTAATCTTGAGAATTCCCCTCTTACCTTAGTTGACAAAGAAAGATTGCATAGAATATTCTTGTGTAGTCTCTCAACGCCTCAAATGAAAGATACTTATACTTTATTTGTTCTTGTAGTTCCTCCTTTTGGCTTCTGTTGCTTGTCTTTTATCTCATTGGAGCATGGAACCCTAGTTCTCTTAGACAAAGCATTCTTTAGGGACATTACACAATCCTTCCATATCTTGCATGGTATTCCTTTTGCTCTGTGTTCATTATATTTCTTCACCCTGGCAATCTGTGGCAGTTGGTACCAGGCGATCGGTACCAGGGCAATCTTGTCAGATGTCAAAACTTTGTCATCCATGGCTCGTTAATGAATTTTATGACTAGAGACCTAATTTTCTTCCGATTTCCTCATTTTTTAATTTGATTTGTTCTTGTTACCCCAGCAACTCTTCTGAGACATCTCTGTTTTGATTTTTTTAAGAGTAAGGTCCCTTCTCATTAGTTAGAGTGAGGTCCCTGTTTTGACAATGGTGGCATAGAGTTGGCAAAGAAATAGTTAATTTTAGATTTGCATTGCTTGCAAAATCATCTTGCCAGTTCTTCTTTATGGAGTAGAATGCTGGAGAATGGCCAGAAAGGATGCGCACAAGCTATCACCCACCTTCCATGACAAGTATGTCATAAAAGCCGACTAATTAGGCGTGTTTTCTTAGTCGGAGTGCACTGACTGCCCGAGAGGCGAGAAACCAACAAACAAGACAAATCTGTAAACTTGATGTGCATGCAAAACCCCAGTTCTGGAGCATGACTTTATAATTATACGAGAAACCCGAACAGTCGACAGCTGGTGAATGCAAAGATTTCTCTAACCATTCTTCTTTCAGATATGAAAATTTGTTGTATCACTTGGAAACATTTGTCAAGTAAACTAGCCTGCTTTTAAGAATTGTTAAGTGCTGCATATATATTTATAAGTTGCAGGGGATGTTGTCTTAAGTTGCTGAAGGTGATGTGTTAATTGCAACTTTTTCCTCACTCCAACCAGGCCCTTCATTAATGCATCAGTACTACCAGATCCCAATGATGTTTCCTACTGCCAACATCCCCAACATCATGCAGGGACAGCAAGCTCCACAGACTCTACAGCAGCAGCAACAGCAGCATCATCATCACCAGCAACAGCAGATGCTTCGCGCCCAGGCTGGCTCACCGGCTCAGCAGAATGATCTTATTGGCTCTACTTCAAACCAGATGACAACCCAGGCCATGCAGACAAGTAGGTTCCCACTTTTACTGTCATTTCCCATGTGGCTTGGGGGGTCTTATTTCCTCTTCCCCCCCCCCCCCCAAGAGAATAGACCCACTGCCTCCCAGTTAAGTGTACCTTCTATCATCCCATGGCGCGTAGACCGTCAACCAACTCATGCCACGTCATTCAACCCTTCGCTAATACATGCACAGCTCACCCCATGGCTGCTGCATCTGTTTAACTTTGCTCTCCAGCTCCCTTCTCCCTGCCTTAATTTCTACGCCCCTGTGGGTTCCAGTGCAAGGATATTCAAGTAACACCAGCGTCCTTTCTTCTGCTCTTGGACCACTGAAACTTGTTCAGTTCTCCCCCAAAACTCAACGTTAGTGATTCTATCATACCATATAATTTGCTCTATTCTACCCAGGTGCCAGTGAATGACTGTAAAAGATGACTAATTAGGTATTTTTCCTCTGAAATCAGAGTGCGTCTGCCTGAGATGCAAGGAACCAACAGTCTAAATACAAATAAGCTGAAACAAGACTAAAGGTTAGAAGTGGAATGAACAGCCTGAACTTTCCACAGTTTATTATTTTTGGTGAACTCTAAGAAGGCAACTTTTAGCATCCCAGGACCCCACATCCCACCCTCCCCCCCCCCTCCCCCGCGTCTGTCTATACATGTTTCTGTGTTAATACATGTAAATGAGAATTATTTAGTATGGTTAAAGTAATTGAGAGACATTACGTCGAAGGGAAAATTGTCTAATATGTTTATGTAGCTATAAAGATATTTGAGATGGAGATCTGAACACTTATGGGCTGAATAGTGTAGTTTGCAGTGAAGATGATCTTTTATATCAGCAGGTATCACTTGCCTCCATTCATCTGTATGACACATTCTTGTTCCAGTTGGTGACTCCAAGATAATCTTCACCATTCTGAGCCCTTGAGGTTCATTACTGCAGATGTCTCTCAACCTCCATTCATCTCTGTGATTGGCCTTCTCTTTCCACTTGGTGACCCCAGCTGTCTGCCTGTATGTTATCTCTTCATTGTGAAGATGATCTTTTATATCAGCAGGTATCACTTGCCTCCATTCATCTGTATGACACATTCTTGTTCCAGTTGGTGACTCCAAGATAATCTTCACAATTCTGAGCCCTTGAGGTTCATTACTGCAGATGTCACTCAACCTCCATTCATCTCTGTGATTGGCCTTCTCTTTCCATTTGGTGACCCCAGCTGTCTGCCTGTATGTTATCTCTTCATTGTGAAGATGATCTGTTGATGATTTCAATAATCAACAGCAATAAACAGACATGAATGCTTTCTACTTCAGACGCAGGTTATCAGTTGATGGCTCCCACCTACATTGACCAGAATGGACAGATTGTCAACCCCAGGTTGCTGGGACCCCAGGTCCGGCTGGTTTCTCCTGCACCTCTGTTGGTGAACCCTGGATCACAGCAGCAAGGTCAGTCAGTCAGTCAGTCTTGCATGTGAGTGACTGTTAAGGTTAAAGTGAGTTCAAAAGATTCACTGAATTTGTAGTAGTGTAATGGTTAGTATCTGACAGGATGTTGATGACATTACCTAACCAGGACTAGAAGTGGACAAACAACTAGAACTTTCTGCTGCAGTTTACAACCCGTGAAGAAGAACAAGACAAGCCTTTGTAAGTTGTGTTTGTTACATTTTTAAATTGATAGAATTGTTAGTTTTCCGGTTCTGTTCATGGTTGTCGTCACATGGAAAGTATTTTACGCACCGGCTCGCCGTTTTATTCATAAATCTTGGACTGCTTTGGGGCGCAGGGATGTAGGCGATGTCGCCGCGTATCACACGTCAAAGAAGCTGTGGGTGAAAGGTCAACCTCATGCCCACCCCGGACTGCCCCAGCCCCCCGAATAGACACTCGGACACCCCTGTGACCCCCAAGAGTCCAAAAAGCTATGAATGAAATTTCCGTGTCACAACAAGCGTTAACAGATCCAATTTTCCCTCTATGGCTTCTAGGACCCCTTTTGTTTTATCACAGCCTAGCTGTAAACCACAATTGTCATTCACCTTTTTAAGAGTGAATGCAAAAGAAGAAGAATTTAAGACTTGTTAATTATTCTGTATATTTGTGTAATTGTTGAAGTAAATGCTGTCTTGTGTATACTTCACAGGGGCTTCCAATCAGCTAGCCAGCAACAACCCGCTACGCCTGCTCACCACACAGGGCCAGCAGACGCCACCAGTAGCTAGCAACACTCCAGTCACTGGACAGAACAATCTAGGTCAGATTTGTTTGATCAGTTACTGCATACTAAACCTTGTTATTGAGTCTCCTCTAAAAATGTTAAAAGATTTTCCATCATCTTTGGCCCTTAGCCTTAGTTGGCAGCTGGTCTAGGCAAGTTGCAACAGGCGGACAGATAGCACAGCTTTACTGATTTGGCAGCTTCTGCAGCTACCCTTTTCCCAAACAAATACCTTTTCTTTGGAGGTAAACAAGGCAGAAAGAAAGGAGGAACTTCATTCCTGACCTTTATTGAGCAGATCACATTCACTATCACCATGAGCTGTGATTCTCATCTTTCCATATAGTACATTATAACAGTCTGGCCTGGAAAGATGGGATGGTGCCAACCAACCATCATTTTTAAAAAAAGAGAAAAGAAAACCTAATATTACCACATTACCCTGATGTTCGTACCCCTGCTAGAGGGCCCGCTGAAAGAATTTAACGGGGCTGTTAGATCATGTTAAGTTCAAGTTAAGTTTATTGTGATCCCTTTACAGGACTTTGCAGAACCAACCCCAGAATTTTTAGGCTGTTATATCATTCACACACACACACAAAAACACGTTAAAATGCAATATTTGTGTGTAATTTTAAAATGCGCAAATTATAATAAAGTTCTTGAGTATGATTATGTAAAATTCTGGAGTCCAGAGTTTCAGTATACCACCAAGTGGTGCAGAACCAACTAGTCTTATCTGCATGTTCGTTTCCTAATGCACAGAGCAAGAGGGTTAAAGTTTTACAATACTTACCAATGACAGGTTACTCCCCTACAAGCAACCTGGGCTACACCCAGGTCACTGCCAGCCTTTTCACCCCCATTTCCACAAACATGGCACTGTCAGCTCCTCAGCAGAATGGGTTTTCCAGCAACGCTCTTGGTGGACTAGGCTCAGCAGCTCCAGGAACTATAGGTACCTGTGTTGTTTTTTAACTCTTTCTGTCCCACACATGGTGTATTGTTATTCTGTTACATTTGGTCTGAGAATATACTAAAGAAATGATTGGTTTGATTGTGTGTCTTACGTTATGAAACTTCTAAGCAAGTCTCACACTAACCCTTAGTCATCTTTTACAATGTATATCATAGATTCTTCTTCTTTTTCTTCTGCCTTGTATTGCCTAATGTCGGCTTTGTGGCTAAGTCGATGCCAACACTTCGTAATACTGGGATGCCGGGTTCGACCCCAGCTGCAGGCCATGCGCCTTGCATTGGTGTCGACTGTGGTATCAAGAAAGCCGACCGTCCAGAAAGCAATGGCAAACTACTGGACGTAAATTTGCCTAGAAAAATCACACAACTGCCAGGAGCTGTTTAGGTTGGTTCTGCAACGTCCTGTAAAGGATACGCAACTAATCTTCATCCCCTAATGGAGCATAGTCCCTCTTTACCAACTCATGCCAAGTCGTTCTGTCCTTCACCCGGTACCTTTTTCTTTTTTTGTGTTCACTGGCAGTAAGCTCTGGCGGAAAGTCCTGTTTGTTGCGTGTGCATCAGGGTTACCACTCTAGATGTTCTTGCTTGCATCTGAATGTATTTTTCAACATTTAGATCTTACATTTAATTCTAGATGTTTTTCATTTGGGGTTAGAAAAGATATTTTATAGATATGTTTCTTGTAGTGTAAATTTTTTTTTATTACTGTATACAATATTTATTATGTATTTTTTGTTTTAGACTGGGTGTGCATAAAATCTGGTAACCGCCATTAGTGTCACTGGGGTCAACGCTTGACAATGTAGCCTGATGAGAATAAGAAAATGGTGTTCAACTTTTTGGTTACCTGATCGTGTAAAATAAGGCCATGTGTGGGTGTTTAAAACAGTGAATTTGGGTCAGGTCGACATTATGTAGGAAAAGTTTGTTTTTACAGGCTTTAGTATGTCTGTTGTCAGATTCATATTTGTGTTTGTCTAAAATATTTTTATGCAATATTATTATTTTACTGAGCTAACCATAGCTGTGAAATTATATGTTTCCTCTTCTTCTTCGCGTACACTCGCTGTAAACTGTAGCGGAAAGTTTTGGTTGTGTTGTGTGCACATCTGTTTTACAGATCCAACTTATTTGTATGCAGATTGTTGGTTCCTTGCCTCTCGGGCAGATGCACTGACTTCAAAGGAAGCTCCCAGTCAGTCGACTCTTACGACTTGCTAGCTGGGGAGGCAGTGGGTCTATTCTTGCTTTACCCACACATGGATATTTGTTTATTTAAATTTGTTACAAAATTGACGATTTGTCGCTTTTAGCAACGCTATTTGCGCAGGTAGATATATATATATGTATGTATTATATGCGGTTATGACCGTAATTATTTCCCCTGCATTTTCTTCATTAAGGACTGAAAGCCATACGTGACTTGATAATGTTGAATCTTTCTGTCTGGTGTCTCTCATTGACTTGATTTGTGTGTTGAAGATGACATTAAAAACTTTATAATTACTGGTTATTTTCAGGGCAGAGAAGAGAATCTTTTGAAATGAAACGCCAGCAGCAGATATCGGCAATGGGAGGCTATTATGCCCCTTTGCCTGGCATGGCCAGCTCGCCTGCAGGCAGCATTGCTAGCATGATGACCGGAGCCCAGTCGATGACACCGCCTCCTTCCTTGTCCGGCTCTACCTCTAATCTCACGCTAGGTAAGTTTGACTGGCCAGATTCAGAGATGGCACTAGTGCACATAATAAGAGCAAAGCAGGTGTTGTCAGTTTGTGGTCTGCAGAGGCCTCTTTTTCACAGTATAAATTTAAGCGGTCTGTGATCTTTAGGGGAAAAACAGCTTCAACACTCTTTTTGTGTGTGGTGGTTTTGTTTCTGCAATTCCAATCTAACTTTACTTTTATTTGTTAAATATACAAAAGTAAAGTACCATTTTCCATGCCTTCAATCTTATTGGGCATATAGGGCTTGACCTGTATTTTATAGACCAACCAGCACTTGGTGGGTGATGTGGTCAGCATCAGGCCGGCTGCCTTTACTTCCCAGGACTCCACCTGATACCTATTCAAGGCTGGGTCGACCGACCTGTGAGCCAAAAATAGTACTGTCTGACAACCTTCCAACCCCAGGCGAACATCAGATAGCTGCACCATGGGGGCTTCCATCTGTTAAATATACTTACTGAGTCGCTCCTCTTCTATCTTGGGGTGCCAGAGAGATCGCCAGACTTCTGATTCAGCAGTTTTCTTTCTGGCTTTGTTCCATTCCAGTCCTTTCTCAGTTAGGGATGGCTGGATGTTGTCTTCCCAGCGGACCCTGAGTTGCCCTGGAGGTCTGATACTCCGGTTCTTAGCCTCCCATGCCTGCCATGGTGGTTGATTTTCTCCCTTTCCGCATACATGTCCAAACATCATAACTGACTGATTCATGCAGGCCTGGTTTTCGAGATCTTGACGTAATATCTGATTGGGAAATTTGTCCCGTCTTGTCAATATCTGATTGGGAAATTTATCCCTTCTTGTCTTAGGCCACCTTTCTCAGATATCTCATTTCTGAGGCCTGAAGGTGGCTTCTGTGGGCTGTTGTCATTGTCCACGACTCACACTCTGTAGGCCACGATTGGCACAGGTAAAACGGTGAACAGCCACATTTCTACGCTTGCCAGTTCCTATTTTGCTAAGTAACCCTAGGTTTATTGCCTGGACAAGTCTCCCAGCAGCTGCTTGTCTAGTAGCCAGGTCTGTCCTAATGCCTTTATTCTGATCTGTTACAACTCCAAAGTATTTGAAATGGTTGACCTGCTGCAATGCATCCTGTCATGATATTTCTTCTCCTTTCTTGAGACACTGGTGGTTCCCCCCTCTCTTCTCAAGCTCTTTCTTCCAGACAGAAAAGTTGAATTGAAGGTATGCCTCTTATTGAGCTACCAGCGCCATGTCTTGACAGCATTGCAAGAGACAAAAATACAGGAACACACAGAAGACCATTAATCCCTTCCCGTGAGAAGACAACATTTAGTTACTTCTGGTTGTGACCCAGTCCCATAAATGCCAGTGTATCTGCATTTTGAAGTGGCCTGGTTTTGAAAAGCATAGTTGAATTCCAATGGTTCTGTGTGCACCAGCACATTGTTTAGTAGTCCCAGTTATGAATATATTAACTAAAAATAGTATTTAGGAGGATGTTTCCTTATGATATCATAGCTTTTTTAAAGCCAAATTGACCTCAGATGTTTCCTTAAGCCTCATTGATAGAGGTCACGGAGTCTTAATATGACTAAACTGATACATACTGGTTGTAGACCCAGGAGAACGTATTCGATTCAATACTTCACTATGTTAGTGATTGTTAATTACCTCCTTTATGTGTCGTCGTAGATTTAGAAAAAGTAAATGAATAAATTGCAAACAAAATTCTTTAGTAACCTGTGTAAGATAGTTTTTCTAAGGTTTTTTAAAGAGGGAATTCCTATTTCTGTATGACCTATTTTCTTTAGCATTCGCGGGTGAAAGGGTTCCCTCTAGTAGTGAAAGGTAACTGACTGACTGACTTTCTACCCCACCAGGACACCCACAAGCGACAAACACCCGGTGACACAATGTGCTACCATGAGGGTGAGGATCACAGTGGAGAGGTCACTGCAAACCGTGTTCAGCCTTTAGGCCATATTTATGGTCAGGCTATATTGCGGCCCCTGGCAAAAGCCAGAGTAGGGCTTCAAATAACAAAAAATCTCGTCCTAAAAGGGACGAGAAATATGAAAGATAGTAGTGTAGTGAAAGGTTTCACTCGGCTCATTTTATACCAAGGCACCCATCATGCCTCCCTCTCATCATTGGTTACTTCTAATATAATCTCTGAACTCCTTGTTTTTTTAAAATTCTACACTAAGTTGTTGAGTCGGCTCTTTCTTTCTCAGTGTTTTCTATAACTCATTTTGTTATATTGTGCTATAAGTTAATCTATTTTAGACATGGCTAAATGTTACTTTAGGCATCATATGCTTAAAACATACATCTTCTCATCAACTTGCTGCCTGTGCAACTTAACGACCATTCACATTTGTGTCCCCAGAAATAAAAATTAGTAATAGTTATAGGGTTAAAAACAAATCCTTGAACTGATGCCTTTAGACCCCATTTGAATGAAAATAAATGTATAAATAAAATAAAATATGAATTTCACTAGTTCGACTCACGACTTGTTAGTCAGAACAAAACTTGACCGTAAGTCAATGAGAAGCTGTCACCAGTTGCAGTAATGCATTTGTGGTACTGGAAAAGTTAATAAAGGTGGTACACACAGGTATGAAATATTTCTTTAATAGGGAACACTAACAGTAAACTAGTAGCTGCAGCTGCAAAGTTTATGCTTTGTGTGACGCTCCTAGTAGGCAGCTAGCCACTTTGTGGAGAGAGATTGAGTTATTTGGAATAAAACCTATATGGAATATGGTATACATTTGATCCTCTTGACTTTAACAATCTGTAAGACTTCTTGAAACTTCATTTTAACAAATGTGTGGGTTGCTGTAATAAAACATGCATCTGTTGTTGTCTACCCCAGGGTTAAATATTGGTGGAAGACCTTACTCTGCAGCACCAGGAGCTGAAGCTGCCAAGTTCAGAAACCCAGGATTAGTGTCGCCCCATGGTGGCCTTTTCGGGAACACCTTTTTTCAAAACAGAACACTGGCCCCAAGGAGGTAAATACAAGCCAATGGTGGCCCAGTATATAGAGGTGTTTCATTGTTACTTTGATTCATTTGTTCCCCCGTGTGGGTTCTGGCACACCATTGGATAGACCCACTGCCTGTCCCTTAACAAGCATTTCATAAAAGTTTATTAATTAGGGGTATTTTCTGTTTATTAGAGTGCATCTGTCTTAGAAGCAAATGAGCAACAGTCAGATACGCCAGATCTGTCGGATGGGTTTACACTCAAGTTTTGGAAGAAGACTAAAGTCTAAAAATTGAGAAAACCAGAATTTTCTGTCCGGGGTTTACAGCTAGTAAACGCTAAGTCTAAGAAGAAGAAGTTGCATTTGTCATGTGCGACAGATGGTTTCCTTCTGTTTATTATTATTATTATAATCCTAGTGGGGGTTATTGGGTCACTTTTGGGTGGGGTTGGGGGTACTGCCCCCCTAATAAGCAAGCTGAAAATGGCGACTAATTTAGAGTTTGCTGAAATTTTAAGTGTTGGGCTGAGTTGCATGGATAGGGTAAAGTTTAGACTACGAATCAGCATCATGGCACAAGGGTAGTATTCCATAAGTGCTCCGATTTACATCTGACTCAGGCCTGAGTCAGAAGAATCTCAGCGCAGTACACAAACTTCGTAGCACTGGTGAGCATCCTGAAATACTTTAGGTAGATTTTTAACTCCAAATTTTTGCCCGGGCAGCGCTGTAAGGTATTTCCAATAGCCAGGGGATTTGTTTTTTTTAAAATGTAGGCAACAATACACACAGGCGTCTGTTCTTACTACCCAGAGGCCAAGAGAGATTTATAGAAGTCCACTTGAAAAAATTCAAGCCTTCACCGGGGCTTGAACCCGGAACCTTGAGGCAGACGCAGTGCGTTGAAACCATGCAGCCCCCTGAGAGTTGCATGGATGTCACAGCTTAGCTGTAAACTACAACACAACATGCCAACTTTCCTTTGAAGGGCAAATGCAGATGAAGAAAAAAATAATGATTTATTCATGTGTTGCAGATTATTGGACATTTTTTTTTTTTTATTATGATTGTCCTTGGATGTTGGTTGACTATCCTTCACTGTACGTTGCAGAAGCAACCCAGCTTTTTCTGTGGGGTTTGGTTTTACTAGGTAATTCTACATTCACTAGTTTGCCATTGCTTTCCATTGTCGAAATCAGCACATAGCAGTTTGCTGTCTAATTGCGCGCAGCTGGCATCTAATAGAGTACCTCAGAAATACAGCGCCTAATTTACATATGCTGACCTACCAGGTTAACCAAGCCTTAAATGGTACCAGGAAATGAGCAGGGAAGTAGAGGTGGCCAGCATAAAGTTGAACACATTCACTTAGTGCTGACTGGGCATAAAAGTGGTGTGAAAAATGTTTAAAATATTATTTTTTTTTTAATATTAAAAAAAAATACTTATTGCCAAATAAATTGTGATTGATTTTGCAGTGCCAGCTTATCTAAGGAGGTGACTGGTCGAAGCCGTCTGCTGGAGGACTTCAGAAACAACCGTATCCCCAACTTGACCCTGAAGGACTTGGTCAACCATGTTGTTGAGTTCTCCCAGGATCAACATGGCTCTAGGTGAGTGTCCACCTGGTTTGACCGTCTTATTGTTGCTGTATTTGCTGATTGTGCATTCGCGGTGCCGGTTCCTGGGTGCCCATTCACTCAAGTATTCTCAAATTTATAAGAGTAATTAATACCTCAAAACATACGGACACAGCTTGCCAGTGTTTTAAGTATCTAAAAAATATATTAGGGGCAGAGATGGACGAAGTAAGTAATTGGGGAGCTTGCGCCAGGTGATCTCTACAGAAACTGTAAAGGCCTTCCTGGTTTACCCTGAAACATCCGAACAAGCCGGCAGTGGATTATTATATCAACAGATATATACTGAGCATGCAAGGACAACACACAAGGTGAGGAGAGGGACTTTGAGCACAAGGTAAGACAAAGAACAAGACTGGTCGAAAATACGGCAGAGGAATTCAACAGCAGTACCATGTCCAGCAACCTGGACAGTTACTAAACAAGCTGAACAGTGCATAAATGCCTTTGAATACAAATGTTATAGACGGGTTCTAAGAAAAGAACAAATGCATCCATACTTCAAGAACTGAACATTTAAGAAGGTGGGCTATTTAAGTCAATAAAACACAGAAAATTGAAATATTTTGTTCACTTAAAATGTCACAAAAGTTTAGAGAGAACAATACTGGAGGGATGTATGCCTGGGAAAAGAGGAAGAGGAAGGCCAAAGAGAAGATGGATGCAGAATGTAGCGGATATCCAGATGGGTGTATCGGACGCAGGACATCTTGCTTGTGATTGAGAAGTTTTCCGGAAGATTGTTATAGTAGCAAGGTTCTGCAAAGAACAGGCTACTTACTGACAGTGTGTCGATGCAGCCAGAACAAGAAGTAGAACTGTTCATCTCCATTGATACCCGCAGAGGTAAAAGAAAAGGTGAAGAAGAAGAAGAGGCACAGCTGGAAAGGTTGCAGACATTTGTGAAAGGCTCTTTCTCTCCCTTTTCCCTTCTCTTCTTTCACTCTCTTGTTTTTTTTTCTATGAAACTTCTTGTGTTTACCGATAAGATGGCTAAAAAAAAAAAAACCCAGCCTAAATTGTTAGAAATTACAGTAACCAGGCCATTTTCAGTATTGACAGTTTTTGAAACTTTCTTGAACGGGACGTTGGTTCTGTTCGATGTGTGTCAGAAGGGTGGCCATTAAAAAACCTATCATGGCATCACAGTGTTTGCCTGCACTGTGGTGTTACATGCTTCACACTCTTTACATCCTTGACAACAGTATTGACAGCCACTGGCATGGTTATTGTAATTTCTATCACACTTTTATGGTTTTCATTTGGACCCTCTTGTATGCTCCCTCTTTCTGATCTGAAACATTAATGCCATTCATTCTAAATGATGTTTGTGCTTGGAACTCCAGATTTATTCAGCAAAAGCTGGAGCGAGCCACCCCACAGGAAAAGGTCATGGTGTTCGGCGAGATCCTCTCTGCCGCCTACTCTCTAATGACCGACGTGTTTGGTAACTACGTCATCCAGAAGTTTTTCGAGTTTGGAACGCCCGAGCAGAAGCAGACCTTGGCACAAAGAGTTCGAGGTCATGTGCTTCCTCTGGCCTTGCAGATGTATGGTTGCCGGGTGATTCAGAAGGCTCTGGAATCCATCCCCGCCGACATGCAGGTCTGTTTCTCTGGTTGTTTGTTTGTTTGTTTGCTGTGTTTAATATTTTAATGCATATTTTTTCTTCTTCTTATCCCCCAATGGAGCATAGGTCCTCAACCAACTCACGCCAAGTCGTTCTATCCTTCGCCATTACATGGAGCTCTCCCCATGTCCTCCCCATTCTTTATAACTTTATTCTCCAGCTCTCTTCTCCGTGTTTTTTTTTTTGGGTGCCTTTCTTTATTCCTATGCCCCTGTGGGTTCCAATGCAAAGACATTCTAGTTATGCTGTTCAGCACTTTTCCTATCCAACTCCAGCGCCTTTTCCTCACCTCTTGGTCCACTGGAGCCTGTTTAGTTCTCTCCCAAAACTCTACATTAGTTATTCTATCATACCATTTAATTCCCTCTTTTCTGCGCAGGAACCTGTTAATGAATGTCTGTAATTTATTAGTAATTGTCTTAGTTGTTCTCCATGTTTCTTCCCCATACAAAAGTACTGATTTGACATTAGAAATAAAAAATTTTTAGTTTAGTATTTCTTAAAATTTTTTTTTTACCTCCAGAAATTCCCTAGTGCTATGAAAGCTCCTCTTGCCTTTTGTATTCTTATTTTAATATCTCTATCAGTTCCTCCATTTTATCTGCATATTTTACCAAGAGACTTGTTAAGTATTTTTGACCAACATTGTGTTGCCGGTGACAAACGTGGACACTAACAAAAAAAAGGAGGGAGACAATCAGACCAATAGAAATTAGATGTCCACAACGTAGTTTGTCTAGGTTCTCACAGCACTGCAGTTTGGTTACCCCATATGACATGAGCTCCAAGGCCACACCACATGGACTATAAGAAGAAGACGCTGTTATAAAACACAGTGCTATCCCAAATGTTGTCTTAACTCTTGTGTCCCTTGGTGTTGTTGTTATAACTCCTCTAGATCTTAACATTATTACTGAAGGTCACAAATACTTACGAGTCAGTGAGTTGAAGTGATGCCTGCCTGGCACTGCCAGATTTAATATACGTTCTTCACAACTTATGACCGCCCACATGTTGAGTCGAGAGTTGACATCACAGCACTCGGGGCATTCCCATGCATGCTCCGCCCTCATCTTTGGTGGGCAGCGCAGAGTTCCAATAGTGATGGTACCGGTCAAAATCTGGTTAGTCTGTCTGTCTTGCCTTTCCTCTGAGTGTAGTGAGCCAGCCAGACCCTCTGGTTACATCCAGGTGCCTCATTCTCTCCAGGCCATAACAAACTTCTTTTTCTACTGATTCCGTAGAAAAAAAAAAGAAGAAAGTAACTACATTGTGGGGTCAGTAATTTCCCGGGACTGCTGCAGCAGAGCACATATTATGCATTTTTCACATTATGTACAATAATTATACATTCATGGATTGAATTTGTGTATTTTATTTACAATTTTCATGTCCCGTTTGTGGAAATAGTGTTGAAAGTATAAATTTGACTGACAATCAGTTCGACTTGAAACTTGTTTGCCGGAACGGAACTAGGTCTTAAGTTGAGGAGACCCTGTACACAGTTAGTGCCTGTTGGCTACATTTGTAATAATGATTGCAGAAACTGTTCTTGCAGGTGGAGATTGTCAAGGAGCTCGACGGCCACGTACTCAAGTGTGTCAAGGACCAGAATGGAAACCATGTCGTCCAGAAGTGTATTGAATGTGTGGACCCTAAATACCTGCAGTTCATTATTGATGCGTTTAAGGGACAGGTATGTGAAATTGCACTTCAATGGATCTTGAATTTACTTGAGTGGTGTTTATACCAAAACAGTTTTTTTGACATGTGGACATTTTTTAAAATTTACCCTCAAAAGAGGGAGTCACCGTGGCCTTAGTGGCTAGACGCCCGCCTGCGGATCGGAAGGTTGTGGGTTCGTGTCCTGATGGAGTAGGACTTTTTTTCCCCCTTTCAAAAATAACCTTGGCCATCAGGTCGACCCAGCCTTGAGTGTGTGGTACCAGGTGCAGTCCTGGGAAGTAAAGGCAGCCGGCGTGATGCTGACTACATCACCCACCAAGTGCTGATTGGTCTATAGAAATATCGGTTTAGCGCCATATTCCCAATAAGCCTAAAGGCAAGGAAAAAGCATCTTTAGTTACTTTACCCTCAAAAGAGGGCGATTTGCACATTGTATTGTAGTTCACAGCTCTTGGCTGTGATAAACTGCAACATTTGGCATTTGTGTGTGTAAAGCTTCTTGTTTCTTCATGTTCGCTTGAGTGGGTACAGTCCTGGGAAATAAAGGCAGCCGGCGTGATGCTGGCCACATCACCCACCAAGTGCTGATTGGTCTAAGGAAATATAGTCTAGCGCCAAGTAAGCATATTTGTTGGCTGGCAGTCATCGGCCAGGTTGCTCGTTCTCTTCAAGTGATATAATTCATTTTTGGAAGACTTAGGCCAGCTTGCAAGTGCCACTGTAAACTCCTTCAGAAAGTGCTGATGTCCTTTCTTTACTCTTGTTTCAGAACCTGGGTGGTGCGTGCATGTCCATCCATTTCACAGATCTGGCTTATTTATATGCAGGCTGCTGCTTCCTTTTCTCTCAGACAGATGCACTCCAACTTTGAAAGATACCCCCAACTAGTCAACTCTTACAACACACTTTTTTTTAGGAGGCAGTGGGTCTGTTTCTGTGTCTCCCCCCCTTCCACACACACACACACACAATAGGGTCCTGGAGCTCATATGGAGTGTGTTGAATTGATTGCTGAGATTTTGTAATTTATTTCATCCATTCTTGTGGGATCCAGGAGCTTTTGATTTCCGCACTGGAGGGGTCGTTTTAAAAAAAAAAAAGAATATTGGGGGGGGGGGGGGGGGAGGTTGGACAGTAGTACTAGAGGACTGAGAGATAAAAACTATACACAAGGGAGCTGAATGGTTGTAGACCATGAGGCAGACCCAGAAGACGATGGAGAGATAACGTCCAGACAGTCCTGCAAACACTTGGTGTCACAAACTGGAAAGAGAAGGCCAACCAGAGAGAGGAGTGGAGGCGGTTGATATCTGCAATAATGAACCTCAAGGGCTCGGAAGGCTGAGAAAGAAGAAGTAGTAATAGAAAACATATGTATACCAGCACAAGTTGGAGACCAGATAACATACAGCAAAGATATAGAAAGTTAAACAAAATAAATGTCTGAGAGAAAGAGGGTTAAAGACATCTTGAGCATGAAGATATGTAGGCTGGAGGAACTGGAAAAGAAAGTTAAATGCATTTTTAAAAAAAGCGTCTCAGAAAAATCATCAACATAAAATGGAATGAATTTAAAAAAAAAATTAGTTTAGAGAAGTATCTGAACAAATACCAGTTTCAGCTGCAGTAAGACAAAGAAGGTGGAGGTATATTGGGCACACTCTGAGACAAAATGAGCAAAGAATTACAAATTCACCACTGAAATGGTAAAAAAATGGTCTGAAAAAGGATGTTCAAGGGAAATATTAAGAAGAACATTATGAGAAGCTAAAAATGCTGGGCTGAACTCCATGTTAGAATTGAGAGAATTTCAAGCAATAGAGTGGAGTGGAGGAATCGAGTGCCATCCCTATGTGATGTCTTAACGGCACATAAAGGATGGCGATGACTGGAGAAGCACCATAGAGAGAGAGAGAGAGAGTTGGTCCTCGTCACATAATAAACCTAGAGACTGCAATGGGTATATTGTGAAGACAGTACTGACATTTTTAAGCTACTCCTGGATGTCTAAGCATGTCTTCACTCTCCCCAGGTGTTCAACCTGTCAACACATCCCTACGGCTGCCGGGTGATCCAGCGCATACTGGAGCACTGTACCCCGGAGCAGACCACCCTGGTCCTGGAGGAGCTGCACGAGCACACGGAGCGTCTGGTGCAGGACCAGTATGGCAACTACGTCATCCAGCATGTCCTGGAGCACGGCCGCATGGAGGACAAGAGCAAGATTGTCAACACCATCAGGGGCAAGGTGCTGGTGCTGAGTCAGCACAAGTTTGCGAGGTATGCCTCTCATTCTTGTTTGTTGGCAAGACTGTCATCTTGTTTCTGTTTGGTCTGTTAGGATATTGTACAGAGCTAGTCACAGTCAGGATATCTGTCTTCACTTATATATCAGAGGCAGAGCATCTCAGCCTAGTGCATTAACTCTGTAGCACTGGCAAGGCCCCGCTCCCCCATTAAAAAAAAAAGGAAAGGAGGAGGAAACTAAGAAGATTTTAAAAAAAGGAAGAGATGACAAAGAAGAAGGAGCTGGAGGAGATGAAGAAGGAGAAGCAGAAGAAAGAGGGGGGGGGGGGGGGGGGGGAGTAGAAGAGAAGAAAAAAGTAGTAGTAGAAATAGTATAGGCAGGGGAATTTTAAGGATTACATGGCTGATACAGGCTAGAATTTTATTTTGCCTTATCAGATTCACACACAGTATATACCGGAGGCAGTGACCACCGGCCAGTCTTTCTAACTATCGAAAGCCAGTCTGTAAGAGAGAGCAGCACACTGCCAAGGTGGAATTTTAAGAAGGCAGACTGGAAGTTATATCAGCTTCGCACAAATGTTCTGCTGGAAAATCTTAACACAGATAATGACGTAGAAAAAGTAGTCCAAGAGTTGAGCAAACACATACTGCAGGCAGCCCTAGAAGCAGTTCCAAGAGGTGCGCGTAAACAATACAAACCGTACTGGAATTGCGATCTGGAGCAACTGCACAACAATATGGAAACAGAAAGAAAACAGGCTGAGACCAGACCTTGTCAAGAGCAGTTTAACAACTACCAACATTCAAAGGCCAAATTTCAAAGAGCCAAACTGCAGGCTAGACGGAGAAGCTGGCAGGAAAAGACAAAGTCCCTAAACTTTGAAAGAGACACAAAGGAAGTTGTGGAGGTTAATTAAGCAAATTAATGATGAGAATACAGGGGAGAAATGGTTATATTGCACTGTGCAAAGAGGGAGCCATCCTAACAAGAAAACAGGCAGCTGACCACTTTGCAGATTCCTTTGCAGAAGACAGCAACATTAATGTCAGCCCAGAGAAACAGCGAGAGGTTCAAGAAAACAAACAACATACAAGACAAAAAGATATAATTCCTGAGGCACTGGTGCAGCATTTACATTCAGCGAGTTAGAACTAACAATATCAAAGCTGAGAATGGGAAAATCACTGGAACTGATGGAATCACCAACGAAATGATCAAGAACCTTGGAACAACTGCCAAAATAAAGCTGCTACAGATCTTTAATCATTGTTGGACAGTGGCAAAGTTCCTCAAATATGGAGAGAAGCAATCACAATACCTCTGCTTAAACCAGGAAAGGACAGTTCTGATGCCTCCAGCTATAGACCCGATCAGTCTTACCAGCTGCCTCTGTAAAACAATGGAACGTATTGTCAACCTTAAACTCCAATGGTACTTGGAAAGTGAAAACATTTTCACGCCGCAGCAGGCAGGATTTAGACAGTGCTACTCCACAGAAGACCAGACAACTTACCTTTGACAAGAAATTTAGGATGCCTTCCAGGAAAAGAAGCTAGTGCTAACGGCATGGATAGATTTTGAAGAAAGCCTTTGACAAGGTCTGGAAAGAAGGTCTACTGAAGAAACTGAGAGACTGCAGGGTGAATGGGAGTATGTACAAATGGGT